CCAAAACAGCCGCAGCTTCCCTGGTTGCCCGTTTTGATCACCAGCAGCACCAGGTAAATGGTGAGCAATATCAATAACCACATCGTGGCTTTATAAGTGAATTTTTTCAGGAAAATATGCCCGAGCAGAAACAGCCCGATCATGATCTCGAGCCCGATGAACAGTCGTGCGATAATAGCAGCGGCCGTTACATTGATGGGCAGTATATCGGTAAAGCTCCACTCAAAGGGCTGGATGATCCAGAGTTTGGAACCGGCAGAAAATAAAAAAACTGCTGACATAGCCAGCAGTAGTAAAATGCCTGTAATGCGTTTAAGAAAAAAAGAGGTATTGCCTGTGTTTGTTTCCATTGATCCTGATCCGGTACCTCAAAGCTAAGTGAAAAGAGGTGACGGGCAAGTACTTAAAACAAATTACAATGCTCCTCAGTGTGAATGCCGTTATTATCAGAAGTGGTAGAGTTGCTTTCGCAGGTTGATTCCGCTTTTTTCTTGGAATCCTTAATCGGATACTCACGAATGAGCGTATCGGGCAGACCCGGTTGACCGGTATAAACAATCTGACACTGACAGGTATATTCCCTTACACACGATGATAATAAAAGCGTAATACCGGCCGCGGCCAGCAGGAGAGTATTGCGTAGTGACATGCAGTTTATTAATTTCAGCGCTTAAAGATAGTCGGATTTTTTTTTGCTGCAACCTTTATGTTAAATTTTAGTGATTAAGATTTTGCGTACCCACATAAAGCAGATCGTTTTTTATGTGAAACCCTGCGCGAAAACTGACCGGCAGACATTATTTTTACCGCCCCATGTTTATTGAACCACATCGCTCATCAGCACGAAAAGGATGGATTGAAGTTATTTGCGGCTCTATGTTTTCAGGTAAAACAGAGGAGCTGATCCGCAGATTGAAGAGAGCCCAGATCGCGAATCAGAAAGTGGAGATCTATAAGCCGGCCGTAGATGTGCGGTATGATCTGCAGGACATCGTATCCCATGATGCCAGCCGTATCCGCAGTACCCCGGTGGAAAGCTCGGGCAGCATACCACTGATGGCCACCGATATTCAGGTGATCGGTATTGATGAAGCCCAGTTTTTTGATGATGGCCTGCTGGATGTTGCTGAGACATTAGCATTGAGCGGCGTACGCGTTATTATAGCCGGTCTGGATATGGATTTCCAGGGCAAGCCCTTCGGCCCCATCCCGGCCCTGCTTTCCCGGGCAGAGTATATTACCAAGCTCCATGCCATTTGTATGCAATGCGGCGACCTGGCCACTTATTCCTACCGGAAGAACACAGAAAGTGCTAAAATAATATTGGGCGAAAAAGACTCCTACGAACCCCGTTGCCGCGACTGTTTTTATAAAGGCAGGTAAGGATGGCTGCCGTCACGATTTGGCGGCTGAATGCCATGGAGATGAGCCACAAAACAGGACGAATAATGATAGCG